CACCCAGGTAGTATCCCAGCTCTCACAAAAATCGAATGATTTATGTAGAGCATATCTATTTGTTGCCTCCTTGTACCAATGTTTATGTGTTTAAATAAATGAATAAAGTTGGATGCTAGGTTGATGTAAAACATTGTGGATTACTATCATAATGGAATGATTTTTCCAGTACACCGCTAATGTAGGAAGTATGCATTTGTATTCAATAGTGTTGGTGTTTGAGAAATACCCTATTTAAGCTTGGACCACACCACAGTGTGAGAGATTGGATTTACTTTGATTTCAGTGACTGAGATTTTTTAAAAGTATTATTTTCTACTTAGTGCTTAACACGATTTTTATTTAACATCAGCGTCTGTGAATTAATTCTAAGCTCATCAAGAATAGTATATCAGAAATGAAAGGTATATATATACATATGTAAGAAGCCAATATGCATACTATGAAGCAATGAAACAGTAGGTTGAATTAAGTGTGTACATAAACCTTGTACTCCTTACAACTCTTTCTTTCTGAGGAAAATTGATAAAACACTTTCCTTAAAAAGGTGTGGCAAGATTTTGCGGAATTCGAATTCCAAATGTTGAACTAAATCAAATTTATCGAAACATTTAATGTGTGATAATTGAACTAGTAATCTAACTGTTATATTATTCTATCATGACAAACTATTATTTCATTAAGAGTCTCTTGTACCTTCATTTAGGTTATCTATGGATGTTTCATTCATCTTGTACACCAGGAATGTTGAATTAGAGTTAAACCAGTTCCTCCCGACCTAGATATTTCATTTAAACTGGATAATGATTTAAGAAAATAATCCTACCACATTATTTCTGCAATACAATTCCTGCAAATTTATGATAACCAACCCCTCTGTATCAATTTACATCTTATGAAATAATGTTTATCAAAGGAATAAAGAGTGTAAGGAACTTTGAAAACATTATTAGACTGTGTTGAATCAGTCAGAGATCAGCATTGGCGATTTCAAGGAAGCATAAGTAAATGGATTTTGCTAACTCCACAAAATTAATTAGATTAGCAGGTATAGATGTTCACTAATTATTGTAAAAGGTTTCCTTTCGAACAGTTCAACTAAAGATCATCAAGGATTGTAAATAGTTAACGACATTCGATATAATGCAGCTAATTCCTAATACAAGTAGCTGTCAAATCAGGTTGTTAAAGAATTATAAATTTGTAAGAGGTAACGTTGCTTTAATCCGCAATATTTTACCAGTTGAATAGCGTATTTCACTATGAGCTTATGCTTTTGGAATTTATAATGAATAATGTCTGGCTGCTGCATAACTAGAATGGAAACTATACAATAAACAATGCGTTTATAATAATAGACAAATTTCTGTGGAAAAATGATATTTCTGACGTTTCGTGACATGATGCAAACCACTTCTCCAGAGTATGTTTGTGTATGTTATGTATAATAATCGTAGAATCTAAGTAGAGAGCTTCTTGCCAGCTATTAGTTGTATCCCGAGCAAAATAAACGTAGCCCAAAATTTAAGATTTTTTCGTGATATAATTGACACCTGCTCTAGGTATTGTTTTGAAAGAGTAATAATTGTTTGACCTCAATATTGTTATATCCGCTCGCTTACTACTTATAAATGAAAAAACATTCAAACACTGTAATTCACACGACGTAAAATTAGAACATCAAGACTGGTACGAATGAAGATTTATTAGCTCAAAAACACGCCGACTCTAGTCGAAAATACACAAATTTAAATGTAGTCAACGAAAACTCAAGTGAAAACAACCAATTTATTAATTCATACAAAACTGCAGAATATATTTTTAAAATATGAAAACCATAGATTAAATTCTGCATTTGTATATCTTTCATCAATTGTCCCTTACATTTTGTATGGTTCATTTAATTCAGTATTCCTTTCTACTTTCCTGTTTTACAATTAGATCTTCTTAGCATTCTGCTGCCAGACATTCAACTTTTGATTGGTTTACATAGTACTTATATCTGTCGACATATGTAGCATAAACCACATATATATGGATTGTGTAATATTTCGATTAATAATTGCGATAAAATCACATATATGAAAAATACTCAGAGTTAGAACCAATCACATGCAGCATGTCGTTGCTGAGGATAGCTCTTGCTGATTTACTACAAGAATATCTTATCTTGAATAAAACATCACATTCAAATAGATTAATGATATACCGAATAAATTATCACACTCAGAAACAAAACAAATACTACACTGAGTAATTATATCACGTTGAATCGGAAACGACAGTAATGTTGAACAGGAAGCATAATAAGTGAAGAAATGCAATTGTGCCTTTTTAATCCCGTCATATCAAATATCTTATATATATGAAGTATTATTACTGTGTTTTGTTAGGGTCACATCTATTTCTCGATATAGATCGTAATAAAGTCATAAATCAATATAATATTATGAATTTATTTTGTCTTGACATTTTTAAACATTTTAATTCATGTGTCGATTAAGGCTAAAGCACCATGAGAATCCTGAAAGCACTGGATGTCCGTTTCCTCCCAGTATGAGACTCCCCAGCGGTACGCACCCATGATCCCGCCGTTGGGATTCGAACCCAGGGCATTCAGTCTCGCGCGCGAACACTAACTTCAACCAATCCGCTATATTGCGCCACCGTCCACCATTGTCTTCAGTGAGTTACTATCTCACAACAAACACGGTTGAACTCCAATGGGGATCGAAGATATTGAGTTCGAGTCCATACCATTATAGTACAGTTAAACAGAAAGTTTTAAAGATGGATTTTTGGCAGAATATAGTTTTCAATTAATACTAACAAATGACAATTAGATCTGCAGAAGTTATAGTGAATTATCTGTAATCAATTTAATGCACATCTTTAAATTATCTCTTATAATAAGACGTGATTTTAAAAAATATTTTGCTTACATACAACCATTTAATATTTAATTTTACATTTATAAACTGATTAGCTTCCATTTGCTCAGGCATTGTTTACCGATCTATTTTTAGTTTTTGGAAATTGTGTTGTATTATTGCAATTCACTGGAAAACCTTATAAGCATGATTATTCTTATTTTATTACATTTTTGTAAACTTTTCAATACCCTGTTAACTTGCGTCGTATTTATCACAGCAAACTACTGTATACCTCAATCGTTTACGGTAGTTAAAAGACTCCTGTAGAGTAGTTAAGAAACAAAGAATATTAGAATGAACAATATTTTTTGATAACTTCTTCAGGTTCTACATTTGCAAATCCATAAATAGTGTATATGATAACAGAAATATTAAATTTTGGATACCTAAAGCTCCAATGCTTTTGAGCTTGTGAATACACATGTATGAGTAATACTGTAGATAACAATCCTCAACGTATATTTAATGTCAGAATATAAAAGATGTAACCAAATGTGATGAGATACATGTTGTATTTTCCTAAATAGCCAAAGTTTTCTATATTGTGTCACTTTTGATCTTTTTTAATACAATATCAAATTTATTTTCAGATGAGTTTTGTGGATATTATGGTATTTTCAATGGTTAAGATCATGAGTCACTCGAAGCCAGACCACCATGGAAAACATGGAAGCACTGGACGGCCGTTTCGTCCTATTGTGGGACTCCACGACCTCGTCCCCTGCGAGATTCGAACGCACGACCTACTGGTTTCGCGTGCAATCACTTAACCACTAGACCATTCAACTGGCCGGCATCCAACGGTGTTAATGTCTAACTTCAACTAATCCATGAGATTGAGCGACACATCCACATTGTCTTTAGTGAGTTACTATCTCACAACAGACCTGGTTGAACTCCACTGGTCACTACTTCTCACTAGAACTCCAGAATATACCCCTCGAAGACAGTCACTAGTGAGCATATGTTTAATTGTTTGGAAATTCACTATGTCGATTGTTTATGTTATGACCCCATTTATCCACCTCCCAATATAGTCGAAATTAAGTGCTTATCTCGCTGTCCAGAAGTTGAGCATTGATGCACGATACTGAAGCCCCTACGTTTGACATCTGGCGAGATAATGGATGTTCACTGCTCAGGACTCCCTACTAAGACCAGAGAGCTATTCACTACTTCTTCGTTTTAATTATTCTTTGACTACGGCCAGTCCGCTATCCGTACTAAGAAAATTTTACTGTCTCGAAAACCCGTCATGTTAACTGTTATAACCTGTGACTTGTGTCCTATTAATGTATAACGTAGTGATACCGCCAATTAGAGAACAGTGAATTATCGATTAGACAAATGACGCATAAAACAAGTACGAACAGTCTAGAGTCCTTATCGGTCGTGCTTCTCAGCCAGTTAAGTCCAGAACACCAATCTCAGCCTCTAAAATATGAATCATTTATTTCAAACATACTGGGTTTATATACCAACCAAACAGACCACATCGTACCATAAAATACGAAACAACACTTGCACAAGATCTAGCCCAAAGTGGCTGTGAATATAGGAGGTAGTAGTTGATAGACTGGATATAACTCAAGAATGGCAAATCGTATAATAACAGTTCATAGGTGAGAACGAAGCTGATAATAAGAGGGACATGAATATGAATAGTTTAGTTGCTTAACAATTGTACGATAAAAATATACGTTTAGTATTGGTCCATAAATGGATCCCAGAAGTTACCATTCATTGTTCTCATAACACTAACAATATATTCTTGTTTTACGAGAATGTGCGGTTGTTGTTAAATAGAGCGGACATGTAGATCAGTTAAATTCATTCAAAGATTTTCTCATCCAACATTTTTATAATTCTGAGGTTCTTATGCTGATATGAAGTTTTGTGACCGATAAATAGGTATTTAACGTGAATAGTGAATAGAATCATAAAATAAAACCGAAGATGAGAACTGTGTATTTTAAAGATTTATTTAAGAAGATGCAAAAAAATTACTCAGACGTTCTAGCGTCCCAAAACATCCTTAAGGCGGCGAATATGTAATTCACATTACTTTCACCATATATCGCATTTTGTATCAGGATTCATTGGTGAACCAACTGGACATCCATATGCATGTGCGAATTCTTTGCTATTGACCAACGCCCCGAATACTCTTAGAGTGTAGAAAAAACAAAATTATTTCGTTAGTTTGTAGAGTCGTAAACTAAATACAGAAGTACTATAAAGTTTGCAAACTGAAATTACTGTTTTCTGAAAAAGATTCTGAAAAGTTAGTAAGATTCAAGGTGAATTAGGTGGGTTGTACACCATCGGAATTCATTACTACATGAGTTTTATAGCCATTTGTATTGTGGGCCTAGTAACATGAGTACAGCATTCAAAGAAAATGAGGTTGATTTCATCTAGAAAATCCAATGCTAAATATCTGTGAACCTTCGTTATATACTGCATTATTCGAAATAAATAGTTTTCTTTCAAAAATGGCAACGTTCGGTACTAGTTTCTTAGAATTCACTGAACGTATTGTGTTATGTATGTCATCAAAATATAATTGCTACGCAAATTTAATTAGATATTTTTACGATAATATGAATGAAACATTTACTCATTTCATATGCAATTTCAATTTCTGTCAAAGCTCACCTGTATCTTTCTATTACATGTGAAACAACTATTGAATGTATTAAAAGAGAAGTTCCACTATGATGTCCACAAAGAGACTTGAAAAGTAATTAAAAAGAGAGATTTAATAAATTGCTAATTATAATTTCAACAAGAACCCAAAATCATACAGTTAACTTTAAGCAAACACCATTCCTATCATATTTTTGGCATTCATATCTCATAGTTATATAATGTACCCTTGCGGACCAGGGTAATTTTACATTGTTTTTCAGGAGAACCAGACACCGTATATGCTTCAACGCTACAATCTGAATAGTACAGCCCAATCCTGTGGCGCAACCACACAGGTTTCAAGCACCCTTGTGAACCATTCACACCATTCATATGCACATTCACATCACCTGTGTAGTTATTCCGATCAATGATCGTGTGAACCAATTATGCACAGCACGAACAGGCCAAAGTCGACCTATTCCACATACACCACAGTCAAACTCATTAATGTTAGCAATGGCGACATGTCTTACAATGTCACAATGACAATGGCTCTTGAGAACACTGAAAAGCAGCCACCAGTATGAATGAAATCGGTTAACCAGCAAACCATTTTTGTGCATGAACAGTCAGCAAAACTTGCCAAAACAATGCCGAACCATCCACGATACCAATGGTGAACTTTCAGCCTCATATTTGACCTTCAGCTTATGGGTTTGGACACGTATAAAAATGATATGAATATTTGAGATATTTGATCAAATTCAAGAAGTTTTCAAATGAATATATTTGAGTTAGTTGGTAATTGTCGCTTTACCAATTTATTTATTGGTCTACATTTTCAACTTGATTGATTTGTTAGTTTCTATTGTTTAATTGATTTCACTAGACTGGATGGAAATTTTGCCAAGTTGGAATTTTCTTCTACTAAATTTCAAAATGAATTTCATGATAATTCATATGCAAGTGAATGATTCACAAATACGTTTGATTTTGACGCTTTATTGAAAATAGAGTGAATTGATAAGTCTCCTAGGCTTAATAATGTTGTTATGGGGTTTATATCCCATCTGATAGATTGTAAATAGAATAAATTGGAAAAGAGTTTGGTAGTTTGAGTCAATGTGGAAAAATATTTATAACCGTTGAAGAAGCTATCAGTAGCTAAGTAGATAACGTGAAGGTATTTATGGCGATTGGTCTCAGAGTGAACATCAACTATGGACACAGGTACATCCAGCTGAAGAGTCCTAAATAGGTTGAATCGCACTTCCTGGAATCCACTGCTAGCCGTCGTACACCTTCATTTACACTAAAGAAACTATTTTTTTATTGTTTACTGTGTATGTCTACTAAAATAATAATGCCAGCTTTGAAATAAGTTGGTGAATTAAATCTCCAGGTAAAAATTTAGTAACAGAATAATTATAAATGCACGAAATATACGATGAGCACTGGTTCCTTATAAGTAACTATAGTAGTAGAATTATCGTATGAACTAGGAATTCCAAGATTAACGCAAGTGAATTAAGAAGACACAGGTACAACGAATGTACTGTATTTAGAATTCGAAATCGAGCATTCAACAAGTACAAAAGAATCATTAGTTAATTCAAACACCACATCCGCCACAGCTTAAATAGAAGTATAAGTGTTTGTAATCGGTTGTACGTCTTCTTGTTAAGTTCATCCTGAGTCTGTCCGACATTGTATAAGATAAAAACTTTGTAGTATCTAGAAAGTGCTCATTAGTATTGGAGTTAACAAACGAAATCGAAACAGACTCACCTGGAATTGCATACAACCAGCATGTCGGTTTTGTAATGAAATCATTAATATCTAGAATTCGAACCATAGATTTTTCAACACTATCCCCACCCACGAAATAATGTTGGATCTTTATATCCCCAAGTTATGAATAATGTGGCTTCATTTAAAACATATTTCTCACATTGTTTAGAGTAAACATTAGAACTGTTTTTGTGATAAGAGTAAACAGCAGTTGATATGAAATCATCCGAAATATAATAAAACTCGAGGTCACTTAGTACTCGTGCTTCGCATTGGGCAGGTTTTTCACAAGGATCAAATACATTATAAGGATAGGTAATATATGATATGACATCAGGATTTGATTCTTCTGAAATATTCTCATGAAATTCATCAGGACTGTCATTGCAGAGCGTAGGATCGTTAGAAAAATCAGCATCTATCCAAACCACATCAGGTTTTCGATCATGATCAGGTTCATTTAACATATTTTCCTCAGAGTTGCAAGTAATTTCATTAGAAATAAGTGAATCATTAGGAAAAGTCATACTTGATACAATAGCATGAGAATTCTGATAAATCGGTTGATTAGGAACTGTTGTCTCACAAGAATTCTGGATTTCATTTAACTCTGAACTGCCATATGACTCTGCACTGTCTTTTGAAATCGTTGATAAAGATAAATGATCATCATGAATACGCGACTCAGTAGAATCAGAATTACAAGACTTAATATTAGTTGCAGTAAGATGAACATTAGCATTACAAACTGACTGAACTTGTCCAATATCACGACATTTGAAGCATTTAGAATTATGAAATTTACATGAATTAGAAGAGTGGAACTTGCAACAGGACAAACACTGACCAAACTTGTCCCCATCCTCGTGAACTGCATCCAAATTCAATGAATTGTCTGCATAACCTTGAGTATGCACTAGGTTGAGATGACGTAGTAATGTAGTGGACTTTTTTATATCCTCATGAATCATTTTACGAAATCTTCCTCCTTTACGATATTCGAAATTTGTATACTGAGCATAGTCTAGCAGTAGATCCTTGAGAGCTGTATAAGAAAGCGAAATGGGTTTTTCCGGCATAGCCAGAGTTCTTAATAAGCTGTATGCTTCTTTTCCAATGAATGTGAGGAAGTGTGCCACAATATTAACATCCTCATCATCTTCCTTGGTCATAGCCCAGATTTCGAACCTTTCAAAGTAATTTTCAAAAGCTTCCGAAGTTGAATGAATATCTAACTTTTCCATTGCAGGCTCCATCGCGACGCCAATATAGTAGTAGAATTATCGTATGAACTAGGAATTCCAGGATTAACGCAATTGAATTAAGAAGACACAGGTACAACGAATGTACTGTATTTAGAATTCGAAATCGAGCATTCAACAAGTACAAAAGAATCATTAGTTAATTCAAACACCACAGTAACTTAACTTTCTATGGAATTTTGTTATTACTTATGTATATTACTAATATGTACTAAATTCCAAATACAACAAATAGTATAATATAAAAGTAAATATCTCTAGACATTTTGATAAAACGTAGTGATTTATAACATGAAAAAAAAACTGTGACTTGCTTGTGCAAATGAGAGAAAGAACAACTGATCAGATATAAGAGAGAGATTATAATTTTGATTAACACTATTCGAATACTTCTCATATAAACACTTGTACATCTAAGAAATGTAAATAAATTTATATAATATAACGATTATTATAAATGAGTTAATGGCTTTCTAAAATATAGTTGCGTTATTGTTATAATGGAATATTTTATAAATGTATACATGGTTTAAATGGAGAATACTTATCTCAAAGATTATTGATAGCTTAGTTTTTTTTACTATCAACAATGAAAACACATACACAGATTGTTTCACATTGTTTGTCGATGTTGAATGAGAATTTAGGGAAAAGTTTTGACATATATTTATATAATGGACAGGTTCATGGTCTGAGTTGTCTACTATTCTACTCAATGAATAGATATTGAATATTTACTCTAAATAGTAACTAATTCACATACTCCATGATATAATCCAATCCATTTTTCTGAATGATGAATTATTTTGAAACATAGATAAAACTTCTTTTTTGTTTTATCATACGATTGATCTTCACACTTCAAAATAACAGTGAACTTTACAAATTTGATAGACAATACAATATCATTAGCCGTATAGAAGATTGTAAAATCAGTTTTTGTCTATTGTTTTTTGTATTCAGAATAACAACCACTGACTGTAGAAAAGGAACGTCTGACTTCAAATAGCAGACGACCTAACTCAAAATCCAGTCATTCGAAACACGTATTGTTAATGGAGTTTTTGCACTGATATAGTTGAGCCATATCCTTTCAAAATCTGTTTGTTCAATCTCTGTAACTTTAGTGTGATTAAGAGGTGACCAATTTTTTAAAGCGCTGAAACAAATATAAAAGTGCAATCAATATATCGACAATTTGATGTTGTGAATTTTTATCTGGCTCGATGTTTGGTGTTATTATTCACTTAACTAGTTGTACAATATTTATTTGGAGTTGGTCGCCAATTATTGTTCTTCAATAAATAGTTATGCCATGTCTAACTCAGTTGTTCGTTCTGTCTCAGCAACCGGTTTTAGGCATCCTAAAGTCTTCTGAAATCAGAAGAATCGCTTAACCGAACTCATCGTTACAACATAGCTAATGTGCTTAATAGTGTTTTCTCACAATTGCTAGATCACTGGATAGTGATTAATGTCAAGTATGTAATTTTTATCTTACTGCTGGTCGAATTCTATCGATCAAGTTGCTATGTGGCTACTAGTCTAAGTGACTCAATGTCGGATGCCCTATGTTATGATGTAAAGTGTTATGGTTAGAATACAGGAAACCCTGTTTAACCGTTCTATTTTCTACAAGTCGACGAAATGTTCCTGTAATCTTGAGGCTGGTGGTACTTCTGGCAGATCTGAACAATCATCACCCGGCTTCACAAAAAGCCAAAAGGGCTATTGAATTACATTATGAATCAATATATCTACTTCATAAAGTTTATGATTTATTCAGAGGAATAATTGAGGATACTTTTTATCCTCGATTTAATGTTAATCCATTTATGATATTTTACTGACTAAACAGAATTTTATGCATTAATCTTTCAACTGACAAACTATGTACTGTAGTTTTGTGTTCCTATTTAAGTAATCCAAATGTTTGGTATTTTACTTCAAAGGTTCCATGTTAATATACATTTCCTATAAGTTGCATAAATGTACTTACATAGTAAGACGCTTTTAAACCTCCAATATCGGCTAAAATTTCATCTCGTGTATCGGTTTGAAGGGCCTAGATCAATTAAGTAATTCAAAAACGTGTTATGTGATGTTGTGATCATTGAATTTAAGCATTTTGTATAATTCTGATTTTACATTGAAATGCTCCATGTAACTTCATGTCATAAAATTTATAAGTTAGTCTGCATTGTCTATAGTAGTCGATCATCTCGGACATAATTAAAACATCAGCGAAATTATAAATCACTTTGTAAGGAACTTGTAATCAGTTATTACATACGTTATCCCTTTCATCATAAAATGTATTGAAATTTTAAGATTATTAAATCTACCTAATGATTTGGTATTAGATGAATGTTCCAATGTAAATTCATAAGGGTTATATGAAATTCAGGGTTAGAGTAGATGATATTGGACTGTTTCCAAAAACCATTATGGGGTAAGATGGTAGCTAAGTAAAATAACTAAAAGAAAACAAGGCTTTCAATGTACATAGTAAACATCTAATTGGACAGTGTACATGCATTATGAATAATGTGAACTACACACATTACATTAATAGTGAGTTCCGTAACATTTGATTTTCACGATAAAAGGTGAATTATGTAACATAAATATTTTTTTGGTTCATATATCCAAAGCGATTAGTCCCTTTGATAAATTTCGTTAGTGTATTAAGAAGACGAAGATGATCAGAACGATGTGACATATTACTGCAATACATTACGAACAATCTGGTCACACATAATATGCTTGTTAAGAACATTGATCAGAGTCAACTAGGCTGGAAATGGGTTGGCGTGAGTTTAACAAAATAAGTAAACTGGTGTTTTGTGTAATGCTGACCAAATGTATATTCCTTGAAAATCTCAAAATGTTTTAAGTTAAATACAATTCACATGAAGGTTGTTGTGTTTTTCTTTTTATACTAAATTATCGAACTTCTAAGTGCTCAATGACTGCACAAAAATATAGGTATACTTTCGTATGTTAATACCTATAATTTAATAAACTTACTTTGTAATCGGTAAATTCATAAAGTCTATATTGATCACTAATACATGAAGCTTTAGTTTCTATCACAGAAGATAACATAAGACCAGTCAAACCAGTTAGACTAGTACCAGCTGAATCAACCAGTACACCTTGAAATTCAACAAAATTAACGGATTATTATTGATTAAAATGATAATTATTTTTAACATATCATTTTTGACATAATTAATAGTTTCCATATTCAGTAAACAGTTGACTAATAAATAGTAGAAGGAAGGGTAGACAGAAATCAGTGCATATTTGTTTGATAATCACCAGTTTTTCATCGATCGGAATGAAAGACTAAAACCATGAGTTTGTCAGAAACTAATACAACAGTCACTATAAAAGATGGATGGTGTCTAGCAGTGGAATCCAGAATACTCGTTTCGTTCTATTTGGGACCCGTCAGTTAGATGAACCTACATCCTAGCTCTACTTATAATGCTTTTGACCTAAGACAATATCAACCCGATCCTCATAAGATGCACATATGCCAATAAGAAACCAATACATTGCAGTCCTAAACATCAATGAGAAGATTCAAACAATCAGTATTAAAATGAAATTACTATCAGGACAACAGCAGTCTAATGTTGTATGCGAAAACGAGTCTGATATTCAGTGTATGCTAACAGGGTAATACTCAGTATCAATTAGTCGGTGATTTATAGAATAAAATGATTTTGTGAATTTCGAAATATTAAAAGTATGGAAACTAATAAAAACCAAATTATGAATCACATAATTCATCGATTTCTAATGAAAGTTTCCACTAACTAAATATACCTTCAATTGATAGTAACTGTACTCTCGTGAGACGTGGATCGATGACACAAATGAGCCTTTCAATCGTTGTTACAAGTAATCGATATGAGTGTGAACTAAGCTGACATGGATGTGGTCAAGTATTTGATAGTCAAGCTGATAAGATTTAATATTTCGTTCGAAGCACAACTAGACTAGACTAGTTGAAGCCAATCTAATCTACAAATCGCTGCATGGTATCACAAGCAAGGTGATTTATACATTAATGAACTAAACTGGAACTTCCACCTGTTATTATGTTTGAATATTTAAATATTGTGACGATTGGTTAATGGATTCTTTCTATTCATATTATAGTGAATTGTTGTGAGATCGCCCTCCTTTCAGTGATGTGCTGATTTCGAGAATGTATCGATACAGGACACAGGTGGTATTTTGTGATTCCTTCATCGTAAAACGCTTAATACTGACATATGGAGATTGTACACGATGACAAAATATTATTCAGATATTACGAGATGTTTGTCCATAAGGTTAGTTTTAACAAATGAACAACAAACTGAGATCGTCAAACTCAGGATGTTGACATTTTGTTGATATGCAACATAAATGATTCTGATGAATACACGTTAATAATTAGTCAAATAGTAAATTTCTCTATGAATTCATGAGACAATTAAATGATATTGTGGTTTTATTAACAGTATTATACCGAAAGTAATAATTTTATACAAGTTAATTAATATTACTTTTAAGAAACTGAAAATTTAGTATACTGATTGAACAAACCTTGGATACCTATTCCGTGCATAATCTCATGACTTATAATCCAACCAAGTGCTCCAAATTTCGAAGCTAAACTACCATTTTCATAATAAAGTGGAGGTTGCAACACTCCAGCATTCACATAAACACGGTTTGCATTCATATTGTAGTAAGCACGAGTTGTAAATATCGGTAATTCTAAAGGAGATCTATTCACATAAAAATAATAATCTTGATTAATTATGTCGTCATTTCTCACTGAACATTTGATAGATTTTTCAACTTAGAGGACAACTGTTTAATTATGAATAATGTATGATAAAAACTGTGACAGTTTTATTGCAGAGTTTTTGAATGTATTGATAGTCAACTACAAAATGTAGTTTTTACCTGAGATTAGATTTTCTACTCAATGAACCATTTGATATTATTGAGCAATATTTATCAATACTCTTATAAAATAGTTATTTATATGAAAAGTATCTAGTTTACATTCAGTTTCCATGTGCCTTTAAAAGTGAATATGTTTCTATCACTTTAGAATGACTTATTTTCGCTGTTTAACACTACCTGTGTTTCTATTGAATGACATGAACGGATGCTGAGAAAAAATAATCAAAGTTCTAAGTACCAAGTTACATGTTCATCTTCATAGGTAACAACAACAATAACTACTACAACTGCTGTTACTAACACTAATAATAATACAACTATTAACAACAATAATCACTCTATTTTCATAACTTAAGTGAAATATTTCTGAAAGAAAATTATATTTGTAATACATTCCGAGACTGGAGTTACAATAAATCCAACGTTTTACTCCATGGTCTGGTCTGAACTTCGTCAAGTGAAATATTGTCATTGTGATTTCTGTTCATAATTTTTCGCATTGTTACTACCACCAATTTAAAAATAATCATTTACCTTCAAAGCATTGAACCCACCTTGTTATTTCTTACTGAATTCATATCTAACACTAAATATCTGGATCTTATAAGTAATTATATTATCTTATCAAACAGAGGACAAGATAATTGATTTTATTGCTTTGATGTGAATCTACAAATTCAGCTGTTTCTGCTATATTCGGCGTACAATCAGGCAACCGACATATGAGTGAACATACCTTAGCTTGGTCTGGAAAATGCCAGACGAAGATAATGGACAGCTCTGTCTTCGCAGTAGTCACGTGGTAGATAAATCTTAATCGATTTCAGTGATCTATCGTGAACCTTCATTATTTTTTAATGGGATTCCATTCCGTCTCCTACAAATAGTAAAAGCTTTAGGGATCCGAACGTATAGTACTATTATAAGCGTTCAGAAGCATTTACTGACACCACTGTCATATCATTGGCCTGTTATCACTAAACATACGATCTCATTGATTTTTTTGCATCCTGTATCCGTTTATCTTTTTTCACCTCCTTCCGTCTATTTTCTTCACTATGTATATAATTACACACTCTCTACTACACAATTTTAATTATGTTTGTTGATTGCAATTTTAAAGTCCATTTATCTAAGCTTGACCTATTTTCATTGTCTAACTACTGACTAGAACTTTTGTCATTTCTTTTTTTATCACTACTAGTACACCTTTATTCTTCTTATTGATCTGTACTTTCTAATGTGTAATTGTACAATCTATTTCATTATGACTATTGACTCATAAATTGTTTTGATTAGTTTAATGTTTTTATTAACTCATACATCCATGTATATTAAATTGAATTTTGATGAAGATCCAAATGAAAACAATATTGTTCGACTATATGTATCACATTATTATTGTGCTCAACATAGATTATATATTTTCATTTTAGCCATTAACCTTGCAATTTCATTTGATACAGGGGACATGTTGAAGTTGACACTGCATATTAATCGTTTCAGCATTAAAAAGTTTCATTTTATTTTATAAACAACTCCGAGTTTCTATGACTATTCGTCAATATACATCAACAAAATTGATTGTAGGAGAGTTGTAACAGTAGTATAGGGAATGGGCACAAATAATCACCGGGTTAAAAAATTTTTGGGTAAATTTTGTTTCATTTACGTGATCACGAAAACATACAGGTTTCAGTTTTGACTCATATGCACTTTGAAATCATTTAGCAAATTGTTAAGTGAAATGTTTTACATTCATACAACAATCATGCTGAATAAATGATGTCAGTTCAAACAATAGGTGTAAATAATAGAAAATGGTTTAGTTATTTTGTTATCTGATGGTAATATAGATTCTGATATACAGATGGAATATCATTAAATTACTGACCTGGTTTAAATAAACCATCTGAAATCACGAAAAAATACTTATTTGAAAAATAATAGGTAAAAGTGAGAGGAGTAGACGGATTGTCATTTGAAAGATTTAGATCATTAGTGACTATTTTACATAGATTTTAGTCTGTTATTTGGGTTCACATTAGTAAGTGGTGTCAAATCTCCTAACGACGAAAATATAAAGATGCTGTATGATATGATAGTAGTTGTAATAATAATAGTAATAATGGACAATTAGCATTTGTCGTTTGGGTTATAAAATGAATGAAATCTTCTTACTTCATTACCACCTTGAATAATGTAATGAAGGCACAGAAAGTTTACTTAAGGAAAACGATTTGTACATCCTTCTGTTTTCTAAGATTTTAATTAGCATATTCGTTACAAGATTTAGAGGGAAGATGTCCAAACACGAACCAAACATACACTAAATCAGTCCACGAAATCAATTTGATTTCATGGTAATGTGGGTTCTATTCAGTGGAAGGCATCAATCCATAAGATAATTTTGATTAAAGAATATTCAAATCTTTGCAGTTAAATAATAAAATTAATAATTTGTGATAACTTGTATTGTTTTTATATCAGAGACATCATGACAACTTACGGGTTATATTTGTGTAACTGAGCTTTCAAAGTGTCAATATATTTCGCTCTACGGATATAGAATTCATTTGTGTAATAATTGTCCTCTCGAATAGGGTACTAAATATTATTTGTGTGAAAAAACATTGACAGAGATCATTTAAAAGATGTTTAAAGCACGTTCTATACATTCTGTTTTCCAGTTTATTGAGTAAGTATTTCTGAATCAATGGTTTTGGGAAAATGCAGTGTCATTGAAGCAACATTTCGGATTTTCATTGTCAAACCAATCATTGTCACGTAAATTGACTTTCCTCAATTTGTAACGCCGAGTTACCGAAATGATTTGACTAATGCGTAAAATTGTGCGAATAGTCCTCGTGTGATTATATATTTCATCACTTAATCATATACACACAACCTTGTAGTGTGACGAGTTTGTAAATGATTTTGTACATGCATCCAAGTAGTTGAATTATGTTGAGATTGATGTGTAGTTTTTGATGACCAGTAGATTGGTCCATAAATTGACCAATATATTTGAACCTGTTAGGATTTAACCTCTGAGTTTCCGAACTGCAGAATAAAGACCAGTGAGTTGAGGTTTCTCTGCCACGTAATGATTGAGGCAAACCAATGTTGTTTGGAAATGTGAAATATGGTTTTATTACACTAAGTGTTATCAATGATGAGTTCTAGGAATAACGGTGTCTTGTAAGTTTCACATGTCTCCTCGGTGATAACCGGAGTTATTTTGTGTAGAAATAGCTTATTATTATATACAATGATGTATAATATAACCAGTTTTCGATAAAATAATCATTAGTTGTATCAAATGGACATGTAAAATAATTTATTTTTCAATAGTGAAATAAGTGTAGTTAACTTACTTGGAATACTGTTGAGAGATTTTCTTTTTGTTGAGAAGCATTTTGATTGGAGTACAAGGCAAATATGCTTAGTTTTGAAACCTTGTCTTGCAAAAATGGCTTTTCTGTCTCACCTAACCAGTTGAGTTTTAATATTGAGTCAATTACAGTGAGTTTAATTTCGTTAAACATATTGATCACCTGTAATTCAGTTAATATTAACCACAATGAGAAAGTGTATGTCATGTTTGAAAATCATTACGAACAAGTTACAAATGTAAAAGAGACAAGTTGTGTGATTCAAACATGAGCATATCTTAGGCGTGAGCCAAGCAACTTAGTAATGAGTTCATGGCAAGTGGTTGTCCTATAGCAACTGTCCTACAACCAATTTCGATTATGGTTAATTTTGGTTAAGCTCTTTTATTGACTTACTTGACAAACAATGTTATTTGAATAGTAACAATTTGCATATCTCTTTGTACCGTTATGATCCCTAGATCACATGACAGACTCTAGCTAAAGTGTTAATATCTTGAATGTCACTCGATGATTCATCCTCCTCCCCATGTATGCATGTACTCAAATCCTATTATTAGTCCTTGCTTTGTCGTGCTGTGCACTTATTCGATTTGACAATAACTTTGCCTCTGTATTTGCTCGCATAAACATATTCGCTTCTCTGCTTCATATTCGTTTAATATACTTATAGCATTGTGATCTGCGCTATCCGCTAATAAACCGTAGTTACCGCTTCTCATTGCCTTCTGATTTCAAACAACGTTGATATTTATATAATAACGGTTACGAGAGTGATTGATTAACAAAGCTATGCCACTACAGTATGATGGATTTTGGTTTTTCAAATTGACCATTGTTCTCTGTTCATCAAGAATATGTTTTTGATATTTAAAATGTGTACCAATATACAGTCTAGAAGAGTAGCTTAACAAGATCATTTGGATGGATATTAGAATCCGTATTTCAAATGGATTTGGTGCGAAACATGGTATACAGGTGATAAAAACATTTTGAATGGTTACGAGCGTTTAACTAACATCATAGTTAGTTGCCTACTCTTACTAAATTGTATTGTGTTACACTTAATCCTGACAATGTAATGTAATGTTTACAATAATAAAGTCTCATCCCATATTGTTAGAATGATTACTGCACAGTGTAACCCCTAGATCTCAAAAGAGACCACACCAGTGATGACAATTCGTAGGGATTCTGAAAATTATTTGAAAAACAATCTGCAGATTTTCACCGAAACTGTGTGTTTTTCGAGAAAAGTAGTTTGAGTTGACTGTCTGACCGAAACTAGGCCGATATTGGAACGATGTTGATCATGTGATGTAATTCATGTAGGAACGTATATCCGAAATCAAAGGAATAATTTCACAACTGTTGAGGGATATGTTTTCAGGTGATGTCGAAAGTATGAAAGTGTTTTGGAA